AACGGTTGGGGTCCTATAGAAATAACACCCGATTCTTTATTTTTGTCTAGAGCTTCGCACTAATTTTGTCATACAAACACCCGATTCATAAAAAAATGACATAAGTCTAACATGAATAAATTAGTAACATGCAAATTTCACATAGCAACATGATCAACCCACGCTACGAAAATTATTTTTATCTCACTATAAAACGCTAGCGAATGTTACAAAACAGATGTAGCGTAAATACCCATACAATGACATAAATTAATAAATCAAATGAACACAAGTCTAACATGAATAATTAGAAACATACAAATTTCACATAGCAACATGATAAACCCACGCTATAAAAATTACTCGATTATGTTTATCAGGTTTTGAAAACACAAACATCAGTGAAACAACATGAAAATATTTTTCAAATGTGAACGTTAGGATTTCAGGCAATGTTTTAAAACCGAGTAATTAACATTGTCAATATACACATCAAATCACCACAATCAATATACTATATACGATATAAAAATTGAATTTCATACCTTCGTTGACGACTGTGGAAGCTCCTGAAAAGGAGAAAAATGTATTAGTGTGATTTTAACTCAAATTATTACACAGCATATATACTCTCTTACCTTCGTTAACGCGTGTCGGAGATGATGGCGGTTCTTAAAAGAAAAAATATATGTGTATAAATACAAAGTTAGTAATCGAAATATTTTCATCTATACATACCTGGTTCATCAGTTCTTTGCCTTTTTGTTCGCCCGGTCGGCGTCTTCGTACGTTTCCCACGGCCAACTTGATGGACTTCGCGTTGATGGGCTTGGAATGGAAATATATTTCGAAATACTTCACCACATACATTACAAGTATATTCCCGTTCCGCGCCACGGCGCTCGTGCATTTTCATGTGGCGGCTCAAATTATCCTGTAAAGAACATGAAGTATAATATAGCGTATATCTGTACAATGTCTATACATATACTTGTTACGGTTTATATATTAATACAAATCTCTACAAACCTTTCGATCAAATTTCTTATGACATCTTGCACATTCGTATACTTTTTCCTTGTCATGTATCTTCTTGTGGCGGTTCAGTTTATCTTTCGTCGCGAAAGATTTGTCACATTGGTCGCAAGTAAACGACTTTTCTCCAAAATGAAGAGATTGAATGTGGCGCTTCAAATCAGCTCGACGCGTGAAAACTTTTTCGCAGTGATCGCAGCCATGTCCAGGGTTTCTGTCTCGTCGCCAATCATTCCATTCAGCCAGAATCTGCTCTTGAATTTCGGGTGACCAAGAAAAAGTGTCCACGGCACAAAGCTGGCGATTGACCTCGTCATTTTCCAACTCTGCCGTGAAATGATCTCTCCTACAAAATATAGAAGTCGATTACATACACACAAAACTCTGGATATTATATTATTTTTTCAGTTTAAATTAAACTTACCAAATATTCTCTCGATGTTGATGTGCCATTCTCTTCCACGTACTTCTCTCCGAATATAAATTTCACCAAAAGACCTTCAGTAAGAGCGTTGTCAAATGCAGAACTATGCCTATTACAAGACGCTTGTAGATTTTATACAGACGCTCGTTAAATCAAACAACCAATCATAGTAAGCCAACATTAATCCCTCCATTGTATCATACACGTGGGAGACGCTAAAAAATACGTAGTCAGCAAGTTTCGCCGGATCATGTTTAAGCTCGCCCGCGTGACGTCATTGCATATAATTATGACGTATGTTAATGAGTGACGTCACTACGCACCCTCATTTGTACGAGTATTAATTAACGCACCCTCAGCACCCTCATTTTTATGAATATTAATTAGCGCACCCTTACGCACCCTCAAAAATGGGGGTCGAACGGTACCTATATTACTACTATCCTGTTTATACATGTTTACCCAACAACTTGGCCAGGCAGGCAATTGTCTCGTTTATAATTGATGCTAATAAATTGAAATATTGAAAAAAATTATTTAACAATTTTGTGTGTCTTTAAATCCAAAGGTTTTCATAACAAGGCGGAGAGTGGGGGGGAGGGGGTTGGGGGCCTCGCGCTAAAATCTGCCACGAGCCTCGCGCGACGTTAATCCGGCCCTGGTCACTTGTCGGTAGTTCTTGTGGTTTTAATGCCAATTGCCAAAGAACGAAAGAGAGCACCGATGACTTCCCCCGTCGGAGAATTACTGGCGCAGCCCAGGCCAGCTCAGTGAAATATGGGGGCCCAGGGCCAATTATATCTTTCGGGCCCCGGTGAACCACAATAATTCCCCTCCCACCCCTCCGTCGACAAACTTTTTACCCCCTTGCAAATTTGTATTTGCCGGCCCTCCTTGAGCTGGGGTCGCGGAGAAAATTGCTCCCTTTGCCCCCCCCCCCTGCAAGGGCGGCCCTGGCGCCACCCCTGTCTTATCATAACTATCTACTTCAAATAATTTTTAAAGCCCTGTTCTTTTTCAAGTAGTTTTTTGTCCCGAAAAAGTAAAAGACTTAGAAATGGTGATTAAATTATTTACTACGGTATGTCATTTAATAACGAGCAAGGGTTATGGTAGGGATTTAAGTTATAAAGTTGGTGTTTGGAATAGGGTTAGTGTAAAGCTTTGTTACGTTTTGTCATTCTGAGGCCAGCGAAATAACCTCTTACGCAACATGTATGCGTACGCGTCTACTATCGTCAAGAAACAATCAATACGTATAATCGTTGTGGTCTGTTGGATTTTAATAAGATTTAATGACCTTGCAGTTTTAACACACATTAGCCGAATTCATATTAGAGACGGGAAACTCGTATTAGACGGAAAACTCGTCTTAAATTCGAATTTATCCGTCCCTAAATTCATATTCAGGGCGGGTTTCCACAGACGAGTTTCCGTCTAAGACGAGTTTCGCGTCCCTAATATGAATTCGGCTATTCAAATATAAGGGCTGGTAAACTAAAAATAAAAACTCCTTATATTGATAAACATTACAAACGTTCATTTCATGTACACGCAAGCTAACACCTGCTTAATAATTAACTTACGTCTTCGTAAACATTATAGTCGATACATAACTGGTACATTAATTTAATAATATGGACAAAATGGAACAAAACCTCTGAAAACAGCAGTTGTAGTTCTAATTATTTTGGTAAATTTAGTAACAAATATAATCCCTAAACAGCTCATCGCTTTGTATGTTAGGCTTGTTAGCGCCATTAAAAGTAGACAATATTGAACAGCGATCTGAAGTTTTCATGCACCTGACAACAATATTATATCTAAAAATACCTGTATATGATGATATTTCACAAATATATCGGGATTTCTGGACCAATTTTAAACTTAGCAAGGCAAAAAGTCTCCATTCAAGAACATATCAAAAGGTAAAATACTTAAAATACTTGATTAAATTGTTTACTTCGACGGTATGTAAATTAACAGCGTTTGACTTGCAAGACGTCAAAAACGGACGATTTCAACGCGCTGTCGTTTATCGCGTATTCATTTGCCCAAAGAAGTATTTACATCAATTGAAAGCTTGTTTATTAAAGAGCCAACTAGTAGAAGCATGATCGATTTGGAGCTTTATCCCATGGTTTTGTTAAGAGGGTATCGTAAATGAGGTAAGATAGTGTGCTCCAAAACTACGATTATTTCTATTCCTAAAAGTAACTCAGATTTCCTGTAAGTCACGTACCCGGTCCTTTGAATAACCGAAAACAAGATTTTTAGGGTTTTAGATCGATTAGAAACGGTTGTCGTCGTGAAATTTGCCGGTAAAATCAGCGCATACACTGCAAAAAATCGAATTCTAGTCTAGGATAATATTCTTATTTTTTAGATTATTTTTCTTATTTTAAGTAAATATTTCTTATCAAGAAATATTTCAAGAAAAAAAATCTAGTTTTAAGAACAAATATCTTAAAGTAAGAAAATATAACTGGGCAAGAATATTCGAGAGAATTTTTTTCTTATTTTAAGAATAACATTTTTCCATCCTAGAATAATATTCTTGTAATTAGAAAAACAATCTTGAAATAGAGTTAAATATTATTTATCGCATATATCAAAACCTTTCTTTTGGCAACTTTTGCATGGCTAAAACGAGATATGATATTGAATTGAATAAACCTAATTGTAATATTGTATATCTTTCACTTTTTTGTCAAATTTGAAGCTGAACGGCTCTGTCCTGAATTGTCGCAGTTTCAACATGGCGGATATCACAATGAATTTGAATATGTCCAATGAATTGCTGCTATTGAAAAATAACAATTATATATGAATTCAAATCATCTGCAACAATCGTCTATCTACGCTTTAATGAAGATGGTATGATCCACCGCAAAAAATGAAGTGTAAATTTACCCAAGATTTTGCGTAAATATCACCGACATGTTATGACATCACGGTTAATGCTGTCAAATGTTATGACATGCGATACGTTAAACGATAAAAATTTTATATTATTGCAATTGGCATATAATTTTTTTAGAAAATATGTCTCATTATTCGCTTATAAGAATTTTCATCATTTTTTTATAATAATTTTTTTGGCCAGATTATAAATGCTTCCTATACAGGGTGTATCAAAAAAAACTGAACAGATTTGAAATTGCTCTCAATTTCGCAAAACACCTATTTGTATCTGTTTTTTTATATATATAGCTTCTTTGGGTACTTATAATGTAAAATAATGAAAAAAATTTCTCGAACTCAAATTGTGTGAACCAGGGGGGGGTGTCTTTCCCAACAAACTAAAAATGGCTCGCGCACAAAATTTAAAAGCTGTAATAATATTTTGAGTTGATAGATTGAAAATTTGTCGGGTTTTTAATTACTGTACAAAATTTCAGACAATTTGGTTTAGTTTAAGCCCTTTAACTATTCATTTTGTTCTAAAAAGTCAGCCTTTCGCATGCTTAATTAAGCCTTTACCTAATTTGCATATTGCTGACATATGCAAATTAGGCAAATGCATTAATTAAGCATGCAATTAGCTGATTTTTCGGGAAAATTGTAACTTTGCGTGAATAGTTAAGGGGCTTAAACTAAACCAAATTGTCTGAAATTTTGTACAGTAATTAAAATCCCGACAAATTTTCCATCTGTTAACTCAAAATATGATTGCAGCTTTTAAATTTTGTGCGCGAGCCATTTTTAGTTTGTTGGAAAAGACACACACCCCTGGTTCACAAAATTTGAGTTCGAGAAATTTTTTTCATTATTTTACATTATAAGTACCCAAAGAAGCTATATATATAAAAACAGATACAAATAGCTGTTTTGCGAAATTGAGAGCAATTTTAAATCTGTTCAGTTTTTTTTTATACACCCTGTATAGCAGGCGAGTTTCTATGACTGTAATGCTTTTCAGGACGATGTGTTTTGTTTAATCCATTCTTTCAAGAAAACTGATTGCTTATTTTTTGTCCAGACAAAATGGTCGGAAAATGTCAGAAGTTGAGCAGCATGTGCTGTCTCTTAATGGTTAGTGAAACTCGCCAAGACATAAACTAATAAAATTAAAGTATAATTAAAGGAATGGATTTAATCCAAACAATTGTTTTGATCTATCAGCGATGGTGAATTTAATGTTATTAAGTTACTATATGATGGTGATTAAGACGAGGCCTAAGGGGGCGGTCATTATCTATGGCGGAGGATGTCACCGAAGAAAAATGTTTTTCGTGGTAAAAAATTTTCTGATCCAACCATTAAAATGTTAAAAAAATTTCTACCCAACCTCGAATATCGATTAAAAAATAAATACCCACCCCGGCCAAAAACTTTACAAAAGGATACCATTCAGTTGTCAGACATGGCCTTTACCACTTCTGTGACACGAGTTTGCGAACTGCTTTTGTGCAATTTTCTGGAGTCTAAAGTTTCATGTTGTCATTTGTCTCCTGACAAATCGGAAAATAATCAAGATGGTGTATCTGATTACGATACATATTGTATTGACATATGACTGTTGACATATGCTTTGGAAATGACAATAAATTTTTATTACCCAACCCTTGAGTTGTTTTCTTTATGATTTGCCCAACTCAAAATTTTGTTTACCCAACCCTTTTCTCTTTGGTGCCACCCCCCGCCGTAAATAATGACCGGTCCCTCAATTCATTGCGTATCGTTCACTGTTCATTTTTCAATTTGTATCTATTGTATTCTGGGGATTGTTTGTATTTATTCATCATCTTCTCCCTTGAGTCGTTTGGCACTCGGCTCTCTCTGTGGTGAATTTTTACCATTTCCATTACTGACGCTTGATTCATCTTCCGATTGTAAGTGCAGTGGTTTTGATGCATAGAACACTTGGCTTTTAACTTTTTCACTAATACCCTTGAGTAGAGAAATTAGGATTGAACATTGTTTTAGACAAAGTCGTTAAAGTTGGTAAACATTAAACTGACGGGAGAGATGGAAGGGAACAGGAAGGGAGAGATGGAAGGGACCAGGAAGGGATGGAAGGAAGGGGAGTGACAGAAGGGAAGAGAGAGGGATGGAAGAGAAGAGGGAAGGATAGAAGGGGGGATAGAAGAGGGAGGGATGGAAGAGGGAGGGATGGAAGAAAGGGAAGGGATGGAAGGGAAGAGGGAGCCAGGAGGGAGGGGGAATGAAAGAGGGAGGGATGGTAGAGGGAAAGATGAAAGGGACGAGGGAGCCAGGAGGGAGAGGGAAGAGGGAGGGATGGTAGAGATGGAAGGGAAGAGGGAGCCAGGAGGGAGGGAGAATGAAAGGGAAGGAAGGGAAGAGACAGGGATGGAAGAGGGAGAGATGGAAGGGAAGAGGGAGCCAGGAGGGAGAGGGAATAAAGGGAAGAGGCAGGGATGGAAGGGAAGAGACAGGGATGGAAAAGGGAGAGATGGAAGGGAAGAGGGAGGGATGGAGAAAAGGGGGAGGGATGGAGAAAAGGGGGATGGAAGGGAGGGAGGAAGGAAACAAGGACGGATGGAAAAGATGAGGCCAGATTGGGGTGGAAGGGAAGAGTAGGGGATGGAAGGAAGAGAAGAATGAAGGGAGGAGGGAAGAATGGAAGGGGTGGAAGGGAGGAGAGATGGAAAAAAGGAAGATTAAGGGACGGAAGGGAGTAGGGATGGAAGCAGGAATAAAGATAGGGTGGAGGACGAAAAGAATGGTAGATTTTTCTTTTGTGAAGTATGAGCAGCTAAAAGTGTTGATGTATCCATTCAAGTGCCACTGAAATAAACTCACCTCGCCTGCATACGACAACAGAGGAGAAATTTCACACCGAACTGGAGGCATGCTACATAGCGAGAAATAATAATCTTTGAAACCATCCTCTGACACAATTGAATATTTTGAAAACTTTTGTATATTAAAACAACACTTTTGTGTGTTACTGTTAAATCATCCGTTTAATCATTCATTTACGTTTATGTGCGATTATTCGTATTTGATTTTTGTGAAGATTTTTTAATATTATACCTATTGTTTATTATATATAGTGCAGCGAATTCATGAAACAATTGTGGTTTTAGGGTATAAGCACCAAACATGGCACGACAGTTAATGGCATAGTAAACAAATTCAGGGTGCGATAAATCACCTATACTTATATTATGAGCTGGTACTTCTTTGTTTTCAGCCAAATACCACATAGGTACACGGAACTCTTGCTATCTGCGTACTTACATTTTGCTAGTACTATATGACCAAGGAATTCAAAACCGTATATGTTTTGGTATACGAGTCTGTATATGAGTAAGTCAGACATGTCTTGGCATGAAAAGTTATTGGACCCGACCGATGGGACTAAGGAATGTTAAGTCGATTGTAGTGTTTGCAATTGTCTTCATTCTTGTTCTAACTCGTAGACCGTAGTTTAAGGTTACTGAATGAATACCTTTCCGAAACCTCTACTTTATGTGCTTCATTTTAAAGACTTACGCCCGTATTCTAAAAACTCACTCACACTCGACGAGTGGAAGTATCTGAGCTTCTCTTGAGTGTCACTGCTGTTTTTGAATAACTGGAGAGCTAGTATCATACCTTACTATGTGACTACTCACCCTCCAGCTATTCAAAAACAACATTGACACTCAAGAAAAGCTCAGATTGAACTTCCACTCATTGAGTGTGAGTGAGCTTTTAGAATACGGGCGTAAGTACACCTTGAGTCTTAGTTTGTACTAGCTCAAGTACCAGTCAGGTACGACTAAAAATCTTGATTTATCACACCCTGACAATACTGGATATGGATCCCAATCGAATCCTCCCCAGGTGTATGGGAAATTCTTCGATGTGGTCCATACTCAATATTGTCTAGATGATTGCGTTCACTCTAAAATCCACATGAAAATTTGCACAAATGCGCCAGACTTTTGTAATGTGTTTAAATTTTTATAACTCACCACCCAGAACCGTTTACAGTCTGTTCAATTCCTGTTTTGCTATATAGAAAAACATTTAAATTTTGAGGCCGATGTTTTTATGTAGTTAAAAATTCGTTTTAATACTATAAATATTGATGTGCATTTGGTGTAATGCCGTGATTAGTAACTGGGTAACTTAGTCAATAACTTAGGTAATCAAAAACGTTGTTGCTTGATTGCGAAAAAAATACGATAAAATCGTCGAAACTTAATATTCTTTTCAATGCATTTTATGAAAATTTTTATATACTATTTAAAGCACGCGTAGGAGTAATTTTTGAAATAAACTTTGTCTAAACCGAGAAAATCAAAGCTAAAGTTTATGTAAATTAACATGATCTTTTATCACATATAAAACCACGACACACTTATGATTTTTCTTTGTGTTTTGCTCCTGAATTATTAATGAATTTTTGAAGAAAATTTAAAACCGTATGCATTTCGGTTACTATGTTATCCGAAACTAAACTAACCCCACTCCACCGGATAACCCTATCAGTTCTAAATTGTTCTCCCTATAGAGGTCCAGTATAAGGGTCATCTCTTATTGATCCAGTGTTACTACAGGAGGAAACCTAAACTAAACTAACTTTATTTACACTGGATAGCTCTATCAGTTCTAAATTGTTCTCCCTAGTCCTAGAGGTCCAGTAAGGGTCATCTCTTATTAATCCAGTGTTACTACAAGAGGAAACCTAAACTAAACTACTGTCACTTTATTTGTACTGGATAGCTCTATCAGTTCCAAATTGTTCTCCCCAGAAGTCTAGTAAGGGTCATCTCTGATTGATCCAGTGTTACTACAGGAGGAAACCTAAACTAAACTAATTTTGTTTATACTATACTGGATAGCTCTATCAGTTCTAAACGTTCTCCCTAGAGGTCCAGTAAAGGCAAAACCCTGTTTGTACAATGTTACTAACTTTATTTATAGTTGACAGCTCTGACAGACCTGCTATATGTTTGGTAGAGTCAAACTGGAAATGCAGTGCTCTTTCCAAATGTATATCGAAGGAATCAAATCCCAGACATATCTAACTGACTATAATTTGTCACGAAATCCTTACCGTGGTATATCAGGCAGCGTATCTTCATTGTCGTCTTTGAATTTGCCACCAGAATTAACAATATATTGATAGTGTAAGTTGCATAAGGCGTCTCTCGCCATCTCTGGTGTGTCTTTGGCCGCACCTGGGGCGTTTTTCAATGGTGAAAATTCCTCTTCTCTAATGACTTGGAGTACTGCAAACTGTCTAAAGTTATTGGAAACTCATTAATAATTTATGAAGAAAATTTTAAAGAAATCTACGTTTAATGAGGTGTTGTATCCCCACATATAGAAGATTCTCTTGATTTGCAAAACTTTTTCCTCGTTTTTCTGTTTAAATAATTAAATCACTTCTTTCTGAACTTAAAACACAGCTGTTACAGTGAAATCTTTAGCTTTCAAAAGCTTGCCTTCGGCTCGAGTTTGTATATCTGATACAACACATTCTCAAATTCATGAATAATTCATGAGCAATTCAGCCAATGATAATCACCTATTTGATCACAAGATGCCATTTGGATACTTGATGAAAGTCACTAGTGTTTTCATCAAATATCTTAATTACGCATGCAAAATTACTTGAATAGAATTCCAAATTACGTTATGCTTGGTTAAGAATTCTATTCAAATCGGCAAACGAAAACATTCTGTTACGTCTCGATTCATTTGAGAAGCCATATAAACAACTCGAGCTCGTGTCTCACCGAGATATCCAAACACTCGAAAACAATGTATGAAAACACTCGC